CGTGTGTTGCATGTGACTGGCTGAAAAATCAGTGGTTCTCCATTAGGCACCTCCTGGAGGACCTAAGCAGTCACGTGACCTCCCAAGCACCCCAACAATCGATGCACCACAGCCAGGTACTGGCTGACTCCGGAGGGACACACAGAAGTGGCTCTGTGGGCGCCCTTGCCCTGTGTCAGGCCCAGGACCCTGGTGCAGTGTCACTAGGCTGTTTTGGTTATGATTGACAGGGCCCCAATCTATAGGAGCTTGGAGGAAGGGGCTACCTGAAGGCTCAGGCCTCTGGGCTGTGGGGTCACCTAGAGCCCTGTAGCTCCACAGCCTTGTCCGTTCCTCACTCCCTTGTTTCTGCTTCTCTCTGTTGGCCTCATTCTTTCTATTGGTAGAGGAGTGCATGGCCAGCTCTCTAATTCTTGCTACCCTATTCATTCCCAGAGAGCGACTGAGTTTCCTTCTCCATTTTGGCTAGAAGCATCCCAGAAGAGGGTTCTGGTGGCCCAGTGAGGGTACATGTGTCCTTCTGGGCCCTGTGACATCATGAGAGGGGGAGGGGGTCTGCTGCGCAGGATTCTGAGATCCCTGGGAACCCCTACCCAAGGTCCCCTTTACTATCTCTTACTTGTGATGCCTGTGCCTGGGGTATTTGTGGATGGGTGGGAGTCCCTGGAGGCTCTTGGGGAGGAGAGGTCGAGCTGGTCCCTCATGGCCCTGAGTTGGGGGTGGAAATTTTAGTAGATGGGGCAGAGCATGGAGACTCTACTGAATGGTTAAATGCTATCTTTGGCTGCCTCACCTTCTTCCCTACCATCCATTCACTTATCTACCCAGCAAACACTTATTAAAAGGACACTCGAGTCAGGCCCTAGAGCAGGGCTTTGGAGATGAAAACTTTAGGGTGAGGGGGACATTGTGAAGAGAGTTGAGAGGGTATGGAAGAACAGAGGGGGCAGGGCCATTCAGCACGGGGTCTGGAAGGGCAAGAACCTGACCAGTTCACTGCATTGTGAGGGGAGTGATCCAGGGCCAACGGGTATGGGTAAGGCTGGGTCACGCAGGCCCCAAGGATCTCGTAGGTCTGACAATTGAACCCATGATTAGACTGGGGTGACGGATTTTGAGGAAGAAGATCAGGGAGATGGTAGGCCCCTCTTCACATCAGATTGGGGGTGCACACACAGGTGCATGAACATCTAATCTATACCCTTAGTGATGCTGAGACAGGTGGTGCTGCCAGGCTTCTCGGGGACTATTGCTGATGTCATCGCTTGTACTATAAGCATCTGGTTCTCTGACAACCCCATGTCTGTTCTGAGCAGCTGAATGTGGCTCAGAAAAATACGCACAGCCTAACTGACAGGGCCCACTCTAAGTTCACAGCCAGACCCAAGCAGGTCCTCTGCATGCCTGGATGCCTGACTCTGTTTCCCCATCAGCTCCCTCCCTGCTCTTTTCTCATCTCAGCTCCACTCCCCTGCCCCAGCTCCAGCCTCAGGAGGGGACTCACATCCTCCCAGAGCCCCCTCCTCCACGGCGTGAGATGTGTCTCAAACACACAGTGTAGGGTGGAAAGAAGCGCCAGAAAACCTCAGAATTCCAGGCTGGTGGTACCAGTCAGCATATTTTGGGGGGGGATATATAGGTAGGTGGCACATTCAGCATTCAGGGTACAGGTTCCTTTTGGGAGGATTATGCAGGGGCTGCCAAGTACTGGTGCATCTCTGTGTCTTCAGCTAGGTAGTGGGTACGTGGGTTTGTTTTATTATAATTTTCAAATTTAATTTTTAAACTTTGATTTGTCAGTTTCCTGGAGCATAAGTGGCCACACATATTTAAGTGTACATTTTAAAGGGTTTTTGACCCAGCCATCTCCATAATCAAGATATTGAACACCTCTTTTTGCTTCCAGAGTTCCACCCCCCCAGCTGCTCAGTCCCCTCACTCCTCCCCTCCCCCATCTCAGGCAAACACGGCCCTGTTTTCTGTCACTATAGATTAGTTTACATTTTCTAGAATCTTACAGACATAGAATTTTATATAAAGAGTATCCCATCACATGGGCATATCAAAGATTGTTTAGCTAGTCATCTGTTGATTCATGGGTTGTCTCCAGCTTTTAGCAATTGCTTATAAAGCTGCTGTAAACATTCGCGCACACGTTTCTGTACTGGCATGTGTTCCCGTGTCTTCCGGTGTTCAGGGGTGGAACGCTTGGGTCAAACAATGGGAGTATGTTTAACTTTTTAACAAACTGCTCTACTCTTTTGCCAAGCAGTTAGTCTGTTTCACACTCCCACGGTGGTTCCACGTTAGACCCTTGGTCTATGCCATTTTTCTGATTTTGGTGTTATGTGGTGGCTTTGATTTGCATTTTTTTAATGATGTTGATCATCTTTTCATGTGCTATCAGCTACCCTTATATCCTCTTCGGTGAAGTATTTGTTGCCCTTTTTTTTTCTTTTGAGACTCTGTCTCAAAAAAAAAAAAAAAAAAAGGAAGAAAGAAAGAAAGAAATATTTGCCAAACTCAAGGATGCCAAGATTCTCCTGTTTTCTTCCAAAACATGTATAATTTTAGCTCTTACATTTAGGTCTATGATACAGTTAAAGTTAATTTCTGGATATGGTATAAATTAGGATTGAGCTCCTCTCTCTCTCCCTCCCTTCCTTTCTTCCCCACTCCTTTCTCCTCTCTCTCCCTCCCTCCCTCCATCCCTCTTTCTCTTTCTTACTTTCTCTTTTTGGTATATGGCTATTCAAACATTCCAGAATCCTTTGTTGAAAAGACTATCCTTTCCTCATTTAATTAATTTAGCACCTTGATTGAAAATTGATTAACCATATAGTCACAGCTTTATTTCTGAACTCTTGAGTCTATTAATTGAAAAAAGTTCTCACCTTTGTTCTTTTTCAAAATTGTTTTCACTAACCTAGGTCCTTTGCATTTCATATAAATGTTAAGATGAGCTTGTCAATTTATACCAAAAAAAAAAAATCTGGCAGCATTTTGGTTGGGATTTCATTGAATCTATAGATTAAATAGCAGAAAGTTGACATCTCTATAATACTTAATCTTCCAATCTATGAACATGGTGTATCTCTCTGTTTATTTAGGTCTTCTTCTTCTTCTTCTTCTTTTTATTTTTTCCAAGACAAGAGTATCACTATGTCACCCTGGGTAGAGTGTTATGGTGTCACAGCTCACAGCAACCTCAAACTCTTGGGTTTAAGTGATTCTCTTGCCTCAGCCTCCCAAGCAGCTGGGACTAAAGGTGCCTGCCACAGTGCCCAGCTATTTTTTTTGGTTGTAGTTGTCATTGTTGTTTGGTAGGCCTGGGCTGGATTCAAACCTGCCAGCTCCAGTGTATGTGACTGGCGCCCTAGCCACCAAACTACAGGCACTGAGCCTATTTAGGTCTTCTTTATTCTCAGCAACATTCTGTAGTCTTCAGTCTATGAGCCTTGTCCTTTTTTGTTTAATTTATCCTTAAGTATCACATTTTTTCCCCTATGCAGTTATTAAATGATACTGTGGTACAATGTTCAATTTCCTAGTATACAGAAATACAATTAGATTTTTGTATATTGACTTTGTATCCTGTAATCTTCATGAACTCATTTATTTTAGTAAAATTTTATAGATTGTTTAGGATTTTCTACATAGACAATTATGTCATCTTCAAATAAAGATAGTTTTATGTCTTCCTTTCTAATCTGCATGCTGTTTATTTATTTTGCTTGCTTAATAAGTACTGACTAGGACTAATGTTAAATAGAAGTGGTGTAAGTGGACATCCTAGCCTCATTCCTGATCATAAGGGGAAAGTATTCAGTCTTTTCACCATGAAGTGTGAGTTACCTCTAGGGTAAGAGGATGCCCTATTTGGGCACACATGTCTTTTATCAGGTTGAAGAAATTCCCTATATCCCCTAGTTTGCTGAACATTGTTTATCAAGAGTGGATGTTGAATTTTGTCAAATACTCTATCTGCATTTATTGAGATGACATATGGTTTTTATTTTTAAATTTGTTAATCATTTGATTTGTTCATCTTTATTTCTAAATGTAAAACTGCATTTCTGGGATAAAATCCATTTGGTCATGATGTATTACTCCCTTTTTATATATGCATATTGTTGGATTCAACTTGCTAAATGCTTAAGAATTTTTATGTCTATATTCATAAGAGATACTGGTTTATAGGTTTCTTTTCTTGTAAGTATCTTTTTCTGGTTTTGATATAAGAATAATGCCGGCCTCACAGAATGAGTTGGGAACTATTTTTCTTGAAGATATTTTTATAGAATTGTTATTATTTCTTGTTTAAATATTTGACAGTGAAGCCATCTGGGCCTGGAGTTTTCTCTGTGGAAGATTTTAAAATATAAATTTAATTTTTAAAACAGATTCAGGGCTAATAAGTTACTCCTTGAGTGAGCTTTGATAGTTTGTGTCCCTTAAGAAATTTGTTAATTTCATTTAATTGGTCAAAGTTATTGGTACAATATTGCTTATATGGCTCCCTTATTATCATTTTAATGACTGTAGGATCTGTAGTGATGCTCCTTCTCTTGTTCCCTATATTGGCAATGAGCTTCTTTTCGCCTTTTCTTCTGATCATTATGGTTGCAGGTTTATAAATTATATTGATATTCTCAAAGAACCAGTTTTAACTTTCATTGATTTTCTTTCTTTTGCTATTTCTATTCCTATGATTTCTCCTGTTTGTTATTTCCTTTCTTCTGCTTACTATCAGTTTAATTAACTTTTCTTTTTCTAGTTTCTAAGTGGAAACTGAGGTACTTGATTTGGGACTTTATTCTTTTCTAATGTAAGCATTTATGATATAATTTTTCTTTTAATAATTAGTTTTATTCCACAAAATTTGATATGCCATTTTTTTCATTTTCACTCAGTTCAAAATATTTTTAAATTTTCTTTGAGATTTCTTCTTTAATCCACACCTCTAAATAAGTGTGTTGTGTAGTTTGAGGTTTCCTAGGTATTGTTCTGTAACTGATTTATAATTGACTATCATGACAGTTCAAGAACATTCTTTGTATGATTTAAATCCTTTAAAATTTACTGCAGCATGAGATAAGGCTGGGATCCCATAAAGGGCTGACCAGGCAGGGGAGAGAAGTATGATATTTATCATGTACCACTGGATGGGGTTTTAATCAGAGAGGGGATGTGGTTTGAACTATGTTTCTTAATAAGCCTGGTGGCTGTTGTGTGGAGGATAGTATGGAAATCAGACACCTGTTTAGAGATCAGATATAATAGTGGTATGAATGGGGATGGCAGCCAGGGTGAAGGGGAAGAAGATGTATTTGGGAACTATAAGGAACAGGATGTGAGAGGTGAACTGAAATGCCTGGAATGGGGAACCCAGGGTTGGTAGTTTCTCTGAGAAGGATGTCTGGGGAAGGGTGTGGGGGTAACTTTGTGATATCAGGGGCATGGAGAGGTTGAGATGAGGGCTGAAAAGAGCCCTGCCCTGGGAGTCAGGGCCTGGGCTCAGCATGTGATCACAGGCATATCAGCCTGCCTCTCTGGGTGTTAGCTTCCTCCCTTCTAAGATGCACAGCCAGCCTCAATCACCCCAGAGTCTTAATAACCTGGACTGCTGTTTGGATTAAGAAAAGGTGTCCCATCCAGACAAACAACAAAAGGGGACCCTGTCGTGTAAAGCCTAAGATTAAAGCTCAGTATTAGGTGTTCCCTGGACACCTGGTGAAACTGGACAATCTGGAAGCTTCCCTCCCTACCGTGCAGGAGGGCCCTTAGCCAAATGACTTTTCTTATTGAGGGGACCAACTGCAGTTCCCACTATCCCTAAGAGTTCAGCTCACTGTCCAAATGCAGAATTATTCAAATAAGCCAACCACATCCTTCTGCAGAAGAGGGAGTCACCCCACCATCCTCATACTACAAGGCCTGCTTCCCACAGTGCCTGGTGTTTACGCTGCTCCTGAGTGTATCCCTCATCCCCATGTGGCCCTGCACAGTGTCACCCCCCACACACACACCAGGCTGTGAGTAATCAACTGCTGTCAGTCTCATCCATCCAGTGTTGGGTATAGTGTTTGACATCCTCAGATCCTCCCTTACCAACAGGTAAATAGGTGATTCTTGGGATGAACACAGGCCCTGTAAGGGCAGGTGGTGGGGCAGTGTGGCTGAGCCTGGTTTTCAGCCTCCACATGCCTCCCTGGCTGGTGTCTTGGGGCAGAAGCACAACCTAGATGCCTGTCTCAGCAGCTCTAACAGGTTCCACTTGTTAAGCTCTGGCCTATGCTAAGATCAGTTAGCCCTGATACTGGCCTTGGGAGGTGGGTTTCATGATCACTCCCATTTGCAGATGAGGACTCTGTAAGTGGTGGGGGTGAGATTGGAACCCTAGTCTCCAACTGGGGCGGCTGAGTGAAGCTGTGAAGACATGAGCCTGGAAGGGAAGAAGAGAGGACCCATCTTGTTGAGGGTGGGTTTGGCCCCTGCCACAGGCTCTTGTAGGAATCTGACCAGGTAGGAAGAACAGGAGCAAGCAGTGGAAGCAACCTTCAGCCACAGAAGATGGCCCACTGCCCACTTGGCCTCTGCCACACAGGTCCTCAAGGTTGTCCAATTAGCCTCCACCCTCTGATTAGAGAAGGCAACTCTTCCCCAGGGGTCTTTAGCTAAATGGGCTTCACACAGGCAGAATTTCTAGAGCCAGGTGCTTTCTGTAATGACCACCTCTTGCTGGTTGGCTCTGGCTGCCGCTGATCTCCTAGAATAATCCAAAGAGAGAGCAATGACAGTTAGTGAAATGGTCACACGCTCGGGGTCAAGTCTCATTGGAGTGTGAGCTCTATGACATTAAGGACAATGCCTGAAACATAGCAGGTACACAGAGAAAATGAACTAAAACAAGGCATGAATTAGGCCTCGACTTCCCCATTTCTCAACCAGGTGCTGTTAGGCAAATTACATAACCTTTCTGCACCTCAATCTCCTTGACAGTGAGATTGCCAATAATAGCACCTTGGCTTGACGCCTGTAGCTCAGTGAGTAGGGCGCTGGCCACATACACCAAAGCTGGTGGGTTCAAGCCTGCCCTGGGCCTGCTGAACAATGACAACTGCAACAAAAGAATAGCGGGCACCTGTAGTCCCAGCTCCTCAGGAGACTCTGTCTCAAAAAAAAAAAAAAAAAAGCACCTTACATGGTTGTTGCATTAATTAAACAAGATGCTGTTAAGACAACAAGAGCTCATTTTCGTGATTTCTATTAGCATGACCTTGTTCCCATCCAGCTGGAGGAGTCTCCATGTTCATCCTCACCCAGGACACAATAGCTATAGATACAGACCACTGGATGTAGGCCACGTATTGTTCTAGGTGCTTTAACATTGTAATTTACAGACTAAGCATGGTTGCTCATGCCTATAATCCTAGCACTCCAGGAGGCTGAGGCGGGAGGATCCCTCGAGCTCAGGAGTTTGAGACCAGCCTGAGCAAGAGCAAGATCCTATCTCTACCCAAAATAGGAAGGTTAGCTGGGCATTGTAGTGAGCACTTGTAGTGCCAGGTACTCAGGAGGCTGAGGCAGGAGAATCATTTGAACCAAAGAGTTAAGGGCTCTTAACTCCCTGCTGTGAGCTAGGCTGATGCTATAGCATTCTAGCCTGGGCAACAGAGTATGGCTCTGTCTTATAATAATAATAAATAATAAATAATGAAAAACATCATAATTAACTAAAATCTGAAAACAACTCTATGAACTAGGCTGGTTTGTTTGTTTGTTTTAATGCCTATTTTATGAATGAGGAAGCTGAAGCATCCAGAAGTGATTCTGGCTATAAATGAAGTTGGGGGTATTCCTTCATTTCTGTCTCCTCAAAGAAGGTATGTAAGATGGCACAATTCATTCTCTGAGAGTTTGAAATAATTCACTTGTTGATCCATCTAGGCCTAAAATTTTTGTGGGAAGGTTTACCTAGGACAGTTGAAACTATCTTTATCTTTTTGTGTCAGTTTTGGTAGAAGAAGTTGAAGAATTTGTCCAAGCAGGTAGGTAATTCCATTCTAGGAAATCTGGCTGCTGAGTCTGTGCTCTTAGCCATCACATTTCCCTGCATAAGGTATGACCATTTTCTACCTATGAAACTTTGGGGAAGTTACTTTATCTCTCTGGGGATAGTAATATATAGTACCTTTCTGGCAGGGTTGAGGTAAAGATTAAATGGTTTCAGAAACATAAGCCTTCATACTCTTGTGCTGATGCCCTGGGAAGCCCCAGCCTGTCTCCATTCTGGCCTGAGAGGAAGCCCAGCCCCACTCCAGGGATGGCTGCAGTCACTCACTGGTTCTGCAGGTCCTGGAGAGTGTCAGGGAGTGGAAGTCCTTGGGTCTCTGGGAGGAAGAGCAGGATGGTCAGGCTGGAAATGATGGAGATAACACCGTAGGAGAGGGGGGGCAGCAGGGGCAGGGTTTGCCGGCTCATCAAGATCAGGGGACCCATCATGGCTCCCAGCCGGCCAGCTGACTGCACAAAGCCATCTGCGATCATCCTGGGTGCGAAAGGGAAGGCTCAGGTCCATGTGACAGAGGTCCATGTGACAGCGGTCCATGTGACGGCTGCCACTGTAGCAGGAGGACAATTTGGCTAGGCCCAGGGATGCTGAAGGAGGAAAACTGGGCCAAGGGGATTGCCCTCCTCCAGCCTCCCCTACTACCACATCCTCCATAGAGTCCGCCCAGATTTTCCCATCTAGTTTTTCAGGGGAACTCTCTGGGGCCCTGCTCTCAGGTAATGTAAAGACATCTTGATGTTCCTCTTAGGCCACTGAGCACTCAGCTCAGGCTTTCCAAATACTATCAACAAAATCAACAAATGCAAAAAAAAAAATGAACGAAAGAATGGACAGACAAGTGAGTGGCAGAAAGAATAATGTGCTAAAAGTCTGGAGTGCTGGGGTCCAGTCCCCCTCTTCTGCTGAGCTGGTCCTTCACCTTGAGCCTCAGTTTACCCAACTGTTGAATGTGGGGATGCTCTAGACTCTGCTACACAGAGCCCTTGAGTTCTGAGGAGGTGACTTGAACCACCTGGGAAGTGAACTGGGGGATCTCTATTCCCATCAAGGCAGCTTCCACTCTCCTTATCAGGGTTCCTTACAAGAGCAAGGAACAGGTGGTTCTGTACCTTAAAACAGTGTGAAAACACAGGCCTAGTTGCCCCCTAGGGTCCTCCTGCCTCCTAAGTCTAGACCCTCCAGGAGGCCCAGCCCCTGCAACACTGCAGCCTGCAGCCCCCTCACCGCAGTGATGTTGGGAAGAGTTCGGCCTTGTAGATGCTGAAGCAGGTGAGGGTTATCCCGAAACAGCCCTTTCCCAGCACAGCGAAGAACACTCGCAAGGCCTGCAAATCTGGGCAGAACAAGGGGTGAGAGTGGGGTTTGTCTGAGACGGTTCCCAGGGGGTTGCCAGTGTGAGACTGGCAGCCTGGAGTGGGGTCTGGACTCTAGCCAGGCCTGGGTAGTGCTGGTTGGTGCCAGGCTGCTGAGGGCTGGGAAATGAGACAACACTTCAGGTGGCCTGGGGTGCAAGCACGGGGGCAGCTGAGGGAGGCACAAGGCATGCCCCCCACGTTCCCTGGTCCCGAGGTGAGGGCATATGTGCCAGGCCTCCAACAGCCTTCTCCTGCCCCGCAGCCTGCTCATGGGGGACTGTAGCCCTGGTGGGCTTGCTCTGTGGCTGCAGGCCTGACCTTGACCTCCCTTCCTATGTTGTTACAAAGAGTCTCATGACCCGTCTAGTGTGGTACCCACGGACAGCCTTCGAGAATGTTCTGGGGGCACGGCTCCCCTCCATCCGTGGTCTGCCTCTCCCAGCTGTCAGCTGCAGAGCATCCTCCTGCCTTCCTCCTGGCTGTGTGGCCATCGCAGAATACATGTCCCTTTCCCGTCCCCCCAGCTTCCTACCCTGAGTGACAGGAGTCATAGGAGTCATAGTGTTTCTAGGACACCACTCCCTCATTTGGGAAGAAAACAGAAGCTGGCCCAAGTGGCCACCCCAGCTCCCGGCACATGAAGGACTCCTGCCCCTTTAACAGTGAGAGGATACACACCTGCATTCACACTCACACACATGCACACATACACTCATGCATACATACATGCTTGCACACCCACACACAGTCTCGCCCTCACACTCTGCTTGGCACCCTTTCTGTCCCCACTGGGGCAGTTGCAGGTTCCTCCCAACCATCCAGGCCCTTCCTCCAGTCAGTCACTAGCTGAGTGACTTGGGCTCCTGGCCTCACCCCTCTGCACCTCAATTTCCTTATCTGGAAGATGAGCAGGGGATTGGATGGGGGTGCTGGATTCCTGAGACTAAGCAGCCAAGGCTGTGTGGCCACAGCCCTGGGCAGAGCTGACACACGGTGGCCAGGGGAGGGGACTGCCCAATAGGCAAGGGCAGTGGGTGTGGGCAGGGCCGCCACCACGAAGCCCACCCTACCTCACCTTGTGGTACCAGCACATTGACCAGAATGGAGAGGCCTGCCACGGTCTGGAAGCTTGCCTGGGTCATGCGACGGCCAAGGAACCTGACCAAGAAGGTGGTGGTGGCCCGGGCCAGGATGTCCACAGCTCCGAAAAGGGCCTGGATGAGGAAGATGTCATGACCCAGGCTCTGCAGGTCCAAGACCAGCCCAAAATAGGCTAACGCTATGGAGAAGCTGCAAAGCAAAACCAGAAGTTAGGCCCTGCCCTTCCGAGGAGAGGGTGCCCCTGTGTCACCTCACACCAGAGGCTGTCCTGGGAGGTCTGCCCATCTTGAGCTTGTCTCAGCCAGAGCCCCCAGATGCCTGTCGAATGCAGAACACACCCCCAGGGTTGGGCTCATCCCAGCAAAGACAGGGAGGGTGATGCCTTCACCTGTTCCACACATGGGCCCTGGGTCAGGGGTGGTGACAGGCTGGGAAATTGCCTCCTGACTACTAACCATGGACCATTTGGCCCTCTCTGTTAGGTGTCTAAACCCTTCCCCAGCTCTCTTCGCACAACAAAAGGCTTACCTGGCCTTATTGTAAGAGTGCTGCTGAAAAGACCTTAGCCTGCCAAAGCTTTCCAGCAACCTGTGGAATCTTCCTCCCCTTATATGCAGTATAAAAACAATCCCCAAACCACCTCAGTGCAGCCACCATCTTTGCCCAGGAGGGTCTTAGTTCCTTTTCATTAAACTTGGCCTGAACATGTCTAGGTCTCATCTCTGGAACCCTTTCACCCTCCGTGGAATCCCTTTCACTCTCCAAACTTGCCCTCAGGGGTCTCTGTGGGTTTAGCTGAGCACCCCTAAGTTCCAGCTAAGCCTTTCCAGGCTTTGTTTCTGAGAACCAGGTCACATTCTTCCCCTCTCTTGATGCCAGTAGGTTATCTTGAGAGATGGGGCCTCTGGGGGACAATGGGCTGCTCTGCCCAGACCCCATTCAAGGTGGAGAGTCTACAAGGTCTGACAATTAAGTTCACAAACTTGCCACCATGCACTTACATTGGCAGCACTGTACAAACAACTCAGTAAGGTTTCATAACCTTGGCATATCAATGTCTCACAGTTGTGTTCATGTCAACGTGTGGTGGTATCTTGCTGAGTTACATTCATTATGGTTGTTGCATGCTTTTGTGTGCCATCATGAGAATGTTGGAGCTTAAATCAGAGCAACAAACAAATATTTGTAAATTTCTTGTTAAACTTGGCAACACTGGGAGTGAAATCAGGGAAATTGTAGTTTAAGTTTATTGAGATAATTCCATGAAGAAAATGGCAGTGTACAGATGGATTAAACGTTTTTCTGAGGGGAGAAAAAGCATCACTGATGAAGAGAGTTCAGGTTGGCCAGTAATGAGCAGAAGTGACGAAACATTGCAAAAATTCATTGAATTGTGTGTCAAAATCATTTGGCTGTGAGAAGCAAAGTGGACCAAGAAAATCTCTTTTTTTTTTTTGAGACAGAGTCTCACTGTGTTGCCCTTGGTAGAGTGCTGTGGTGTCACAGCTCACAGCAACCTCAAACTCTTGGGCTTAAGCAATTCTCTTGCCCAGCCTCCCAAGTAACTGGGACTACAGGTGCCTACCACAACACTCGGCTATATTTTGTTTGTAGTTGTCATTATTGTTTGGCAGGCTGGATTCAATCCCGCCAGCTCTGGTGTATGTGGCTGGAGCCCTAGCCACTGAGCTACAGGTGCCAAGCCTTCACTGAAAATATTAGCCAACAACTCATTGTTCTTGCATCATGACAATGCACCAGCTCACACAGCACTGTCTATGAGGGAATTTTCAGCCAGTAAACTACTATATTGGAACACCCTCCTACTCACCTGATCTGGGGCCCAATGACTTTTTTCTTTACCCCCCCAAAGGAAATATTGAAAGAAAAATGTTTTGATGACATTGAGGACATCAAGGGTCATTCCAGTATAAGAGTTCCAAAACTGTTTTGAAGGGTGGACGAGGTGCAAGCATTGGTGCATAGCTTCCCAAGAGGAGTACTTCCAAGATGACCATAGTGATATCCAGCAATGAGGCGTGTAGCACCTTTTCTAAGATGAATTTATAGGCTCGGTGCCTGTGGCTCAAGAGGCTAAGGCGCCAGCCACATACACCTAAGGTGGCGGGTTTGAATCCCCAGCCCGGGCCCACCAAACAACAATGATGGCTGCAACCAAAAAATGGCCAGGCGTTGTGGTGGGCGCCTATAGTCCCAGCTACTTGGGAGGCTGAGGCAGGAGACTTGCTTGAGCCCAGGAGTTGGAGGTTGCTGTGAGCTGTGATGCCATAGCACTCTACCCAGGGAGACAGCTTGAGGCTCCGTCTCAAAAAAAAAAAAAAAAAGATGAATTTATAAACGTAATTGTCAGACCTCTTATTCCCTAGCCCATGGTGGGGGGAGGTGCTGTCCCTGCTGGTCCACACAGGCCAGAAGAAGAACCAGGATGGCCTATCTAGTTGCTGCTGTGTCCTCCCTTCCCAACATCTGGCAACACAAGCCCAACAACCCCAGAGTAAAATCGCAATCCGTGCAGAAAGCAGTGTTTCATGAAGTTTATGCGAGTGGCTGGGAGCGGGGCTTGGCTGGTGCTCAAAGCCTTAGACAGATAACAACTGGGTTAACCGTCAAGACGAGAAAACCGACAAAGTTAGCCACTTCAAAGCCCCTGATTTGAATAACAAAGGTTGCAGAGCAGGCCCCTGGGAGAACCGAGGAAGCCTGGAAGGTTTTCAAAAAAATGGCCCTGGATGTTTGCAGCTCCCCAGCCTTCTGATTTCTCAGAGAAAAAATTTAAGCCAAAAATAAAAAAGGACATTTGATCCATCTTTGTTGTAAGACATAGCAAATATTTGCCATCGCAACCCATATGTGGTTAAATATAGCATAAAATAAACATTTTCTTAATCTTTGACTTTATTTCAATATAAAAGTCCCAATAGAACCTGATCCTTACTTTTTAATATGCTTTTTTGAATGTCACCTCAACTGATTTGTTTTAAGGGCCTTTTCCTGGTCCCAAGTACACTTGGGTGCTGAGGTGGGGCCTTCTGGGGCCGGCCAGGGCCTGGCTCAGCATGTGGCCTGGTGGTGATGGAGCCAGTGAGAAGGGCCCTGGATTCAAGATGATGGAGCAGGCATCAGCCTGGGTTCTGATCCTGGCTCCATCATCTTGGGTGAGGTACTCACCCCTCTGGGCTCCACCTTCCCCATCTGTGAAGTGGGTAGCTATGAGAGGTCAGGGAACTCCCAGGGCATGGTCAATCTCTGGGAGTATGGCTGTTAGGAGGAGTCTCCATGCTGGCCACAGTAGTCCTCTGTGGCCATTGCTGATCCCCTGGCTCTGGGGACCTGGGTTCTGTCCTGGGCTTCAGCCTGACTCTAGTAGCCTGTCTTGGAGGCCTAGCCCTACCTCTCCCTTCAGCTCCCTGCAGATGCCAGCCTGCACGTACTCCCTGTCCCATCCAGAAATGCACTCCCACGAGGTCTGCAGGGGCTGTTTTCCCCAGGCACTGGCCCTGCCTATCCCCAGCCTTGTCTCTGGGTGGGGTGACCAGCTGGGCATACTTCACCAGCAGCGCGACCCAGCATCTACAGCGCAGTTCGGGCCCTCGAAACAGGTCCAGCACTGACCAGGGGTCCTTCTCAGACTCCACCTCCTCCTCCATGCTGGACCGCACCACCTCCAGGAAGAATGGGACACAGTGAATGTTGGGGCAATGCCCCTCTGTCCCCCATGTGAATGGTGCCCAGGGGGTGGAGTGATGGCAGAGGCTGGCCAAGGATTTGGCCTCTGGAGTCAGAAGCCCTTGGTGTCAAGGGAGTTTCTCTCTGGCCCCCTAATCTTCCACAGGCCTGGCCCACCTCCCCTTCATGGAAAAGGGAGTCCTGTGTCTCAGCTCCGGCCCTCTGAGCTGCAGCTGCAGGGGACTCTGGCTGGCTACTCAAAGCCACACACTCCCTCCACAGGTCTCTAGGCTGGACACAGAACATGCCCATTCTGGCCACACCACTCCTCACACCCCCAGTGCCCAGTCGACCCCCTGATGTACCCCTAGGCCCTATCTGCACAGTGCTCAGCTCAGTCTTATCAACTCTCTCCAGCTCACCTCCTTCTGGAAGCCTTCCCTGATCTCCCACCCCCAGGAGCTGTGTCTGCTGATCTCAGGCAGCGCGTCCTCCAGCACCTGCCTCCCCTGCATGGCTGCCTTCAAAGAAGCACATTCCTGTTGTCCCAAACACACTGAGAAACCCTGTGAGGTAAGTGTGCAATGTAGGCAGGTTGAGGGGCTGGTAAGAGAGGCGTGGAGTAGGTGTTGTTGATAATGGTGGTTTTGTTATTGGTGGTGGTGGTGGTGGTGAAGGTGGTGGTGACATAGGGAAGCTGAAGGGATGTTAGTGGAGGTGCTGGTGGCAGTGGCAGTGAAAGGGGTTGTAATGCTGTTGGTGATGGTGCTGGGACCGTTATTACTGGTGGTGGTGAGGGTGCTGGCGTGCAGGACATGGTGGTGGTGCTGATGGTGTTGCTAGAGATGCTGGCGGTGATGTTAGCGGTGGGGTTGACAGAGGTGGGGGAGGGGGCAGGTAGAGGCGATACTGGGGATAATACAGGTAATACGCTAGAGCATGTCCTTTCCTGGGTCAAGTTGCACACTCTGGGTCACAAACAGCAGCATCTCACCTCGATGGTCAGTGTCTTTTGGGCTTCCTTGTGGCCATTTATCTTGGCTACCCTTTTGAGTTCCTGAAGTGCTCGGTCGGGTTGGCCTGTAGTAAGCAGCCATCGGGCAGATTCTGGCAGCCACCTGTTAAGGAAGCAGGTGCATAGCCGGGAGCTCACGAGCCCCAGGCTCTCCCCAGGCCAGGCAGGGAGGGGTGGCGGGCAGGGACCTCCAGCCTAGATGCAAGCGAAGAGAAGGCAGACGCCTCTGTGCTGCTGATGGGGAAGACCCAAAGGCCCCAGCGATTTCAGAATAAAGCTAAATCCCAACACCTGGCTGCCTGCACCCTCGTGCTACCCTCATCAGGATTCCCTGGCCACTAGAAGCCTGCCTGAGCCTTGGTACACAGCAGTGCACTGATGGCCTAGACACAGGGTGTCCCTAGATTCTGGGGCCACTTCTGTGAGAGAAACGTTTCATGCACTGTTTTTTTGTATGTGTGTGTTTTTTTTCTGAGACAGTCTCATTATGTTGCCCTCTGTAGAGTGCAATGACTTCACAGCTCACAGCAACCTCAAACTCTTGGGCTTAAGCGATTCTCTTGCCTCAGCCTCCCAAATAGCTGGGGCTACAGGCAATTGCCACAACGCCCAGCTATTTTTTGGTTGTAGTTGTCGTTGTTTGGCAGGCCTGGGCTAGATTTGAACCTACCACCTTCTGGTGTATGTAGGAAGCTAGTTGCTTCCCTAGCTGCTGAGCTATGGGTGCTGAGCCTGGTTTTTTTTTTTTTTTCCTTTAAGCACATTAGAAACATCACAGAGATGAATGATTTTATAAAACCAGTAGCTTCTCCCCAACCATAGGAGCAGATGGGCCAGGAGAAGCATTTTTCTGGTAAAAGACACAGAGTTTTTTTGGCTTGGCGCCTGTGGCTCAAGCGGCTGGGGCGCCAGCCACATGTACCTAAGGTGGCAGGTTCGAATCCCC